GTGGGGGGGGGGGGAGGGGGGTTAGTTCGCGCTCACAAGGGTGATGATTTGGGCATTAAGGAAAATGTGGGTTAGGGGGACGAGGAAGCGCAGCAAACCTTGGCCTGCTGCCCGCGGTGACATCTAACAGCACTGCTGTGGGAGAAAGTATCCATAGTTTTTTGGGTTCTGTCCTCCTCGTAACCGAAAACAGCCGTGTCTGTCGGGCGGGGGTTAGTGGTCGCTGGAGGGAGCTACCGAAGCGTTTGGTTGAATTCGCCTTCTGTGAATTCGGAAATCTGGAATGCCACTGTCGTATGCACAGATGGTCTATACATGCGCAGTCTGGGAGACAGGCGTCTAACGATGAGCAATCAGTAGTAGAAAGGCAGTACCGACAGAACACACAAACGACACTGTAAACGCCATTTTTTGGCTTAATTCCTACCATAAGTTGGCTATAAATTCAGACTCAAATTTCAGGTCTGGCCTGACTGGGGATGGAGTACGGCTGGCAGGCTGACGAGTTCCGGCCTGCCAGAAACGACTGCCACGACTTCCACATAGTGATTGCCAGTTTCTCCTGATCGCTCGTCACCACGTGGTTGACGTCTTGAGCCTGAACGGAGCGAACGTCCTATCGGTGGGCGCCCCTCGCACGAGAAATGGAGTCACACTCTGGCACATACGTCAGGATAGAACACCTTTACATATGTGCGCGGACACGCTCAGGGAAAAATAAGGAATGTCTACAACACACGCCCCGCACACTTCTCAGACGCGGTGCAGGACAGCTATGGCGCCGAAAACGAGGCAGACGGCATGACTGCAGAGTGAGGGAGGAGGTGAGGAGGGAGGGAGGTGGATGTGCGACCTACCGCGAGCCTGGCACGAAACTTCTCCGCGATGGCATCCTTGTCATCCTTCTCCATGCCCAGTTCGCGCTTGATGACCTTCAGTTGCTCTGACAGCATGTAACGTCGATGCTGCTGTTTCACCTTCTCCTCCACCTCCTTGCCAATCTGCTGCTGCAGCCGGCCCAACTCGTACTCCTTTTTGACGAGGTTGAGAGAAAGGTGCAGGCGCTTGGGAATGTCCATCTCCTCAAGCACAGCCTGCAGCTCGGAGGGCTCGCCGGCACCACTCAGAGCCGCACCTGCGGATTAAACGGACAGGCATTCTGTGGTTAAGGATAGAATGTAATCGGAGTTGAAGCTAGTTTCTCTATTAATTCTTGTGCAAAGGAAGATTTAAGCGTGTGTAAATGACCGGAAAAAGTCCCTGGTGGGTGGTGGACTTACGTTGAAACGAAAAACAAATGGTCATGACGGTAAGACGACGGGAAAAAGCGCCTAAATGTTTACGCAGAATTAATAATGGCGTGAACAGCGATGGTGAAGATTAAGTCATCCCCCCTCCGAAGCTTCGGTCGACAATATGGTTCCAGATGGCAATACGTCGCTACCAAGGTGCCTATTCAATCGTCCAAAATGCTTGCGAAGACCAATGGAGAGGCGCTGATTGAACGTTTAATAGTCCATTTAGTCACCATTACGACTTTTAACATTCGCAAAGGAAAATAGACCATCCTGAAAGTTATTCTTGAAGGGTGCAGAAATTGTTGAGTGTTCTCGTCCCTATCGCCCTGTGCACGTAAGTTGAGGCGCGCCCAAGAAGAGAAAACGACAACTTGGTCGCCGAAAGCGAGGGTGTCCACCGTGCGCCACGCGGAATGGCCGTGGCACCGGCGACTTGAAGAATAGATAGTTCGGCTGACTTTCGCCGCATCCACCGCACTCGCTCCCTCACCCCCACCCATCTAACTCCGATGGAAAGACAGTGTCTAGACGGCCAAAAGTGCGCGCGGACGCAGTGGCTGGCAAAACTAAACCGTCCGTCTACGCGTGCCACACACAATATACCAGGCTTCTGCAAGGGCGACTCTGATACTGCATAAACGACAGTGTCAAAAAGACCGACTTTCGCCGCATCCGCCGCTTTCGCTCCTCCCCCCTCCACCCATCTTACTCCGATGGCAAGACAGTGTCTAGACGGCCAAAGGTGGGCGCGGACGCAGTGGCTGGCAAAACTAAACAGCCCGTCTACGCGTGCCACACACGGTCTGACCCCCACACACAATGCGCTCGGCTTCTGTGATGGCGGCTCTGATCCTACATAAACGGCGGTGCCAAAAAAGGTACATTAAGATGCCATAGCAGCCTGGCTACCAGTCCTCCAGTTACCCTACAGTACCCCCTCCCCTGGCCCCTCTCTCTGGGCGACCAAGTTATCCTGACAGTTGAAAACCGTTGTAGCCACGACTGTTGGCGCGCCGTGGTAGGTCTGACGATTTCAGATTTATTATAGAGAGCAGTAAGCTGATTTGCCCTGTTCCCAAGTGTCGGCCTCATTCGCTTGTTCTATGCGTCAGTCGACTGTCCCAGCCGGGCAAAGCCTTGGCCGACTGCCTCGTGCACAGCACTCACCGGGGTGCAAAGACCATTCCATCTGGACAAGAAAGCGCAGTACTGGGCGAAATTTGTTACCACCCACCGTCGCCGTCGCCGTCACCGCCGCCGCCGCCGCCGCAACCACAAACAATCATTGTCTACAAAACTCACCGCAGAAAACGGTACAGCAAACCGGTTTATGTCTCTGTGGCCTCTGTAACTCCAATGAATGAGGGGCGAAATAGATGTAGAGGCT